GCAAACTTACTGAGGGCGCATTCGATCCCCTCATCCAGATCGTTGATGAAGAGATTAAATAAGGCTGGCACCAAAACAGAGCCCTGGGGAGCACCGCTCGTGACCGGCCGCCAACCGCGCTTAACTCCATTCACCACAACTCTCTGGGCTCGGCCACCCAACCAGTTTTTTACCCAGCAAAGAGTACGCCCGTCCAAGCCATGAGCCGCCAGCTTCCCTAGGAGAATGCTATGGGAGACGGTGTCAAAGGCTTTGCTGAAATCCAGGCAGATGACAGCCACAGCCTTCCCCTCATCCACCAGGAAGGTCACCAGGTCATAGAAGGAGATCAGGTTGGTCAAGCAGGGCCTGCCTTTCATGAGCCCATGGTGGCTGGGCCTGATCCCATGGTTGACCCTGCCCTTCTGCTGCACCATGCCCTGTTTGCCTACCCTGGTCGCCGCGCTCCTGGTCACCTGTGCTCACTGGGGCTGCTCCTCTACGTGAGGGGGTTTGGCCACCGTCACTCCTGCCCCTGCCCACGCCGAGTCAGAGCTGCTGCTCGTCAGGAGCTCGCTCTTTCCCGCTCGGGGGTGGGGTACCCTCTCTCTCCCTGCACTTTTGCCTTTGCGCTTTTGCCACCAATTTGCTGCTTTAGGAAGGGTCCCCTGTCGCCAGGTTCTCCTCCAGCAAGTTCTCATTCAATGAGTTATCAAACACTGGTGTGATCCCATCAGCAGCCAGATTTGGGTAGCCCAAGCCCAGGATCCCATCAAATTTGACACTGACAAAGAATTGGCCGCGCTCGGTGGTGCTCAAGCCGAAGAGCTGGTTGGTGTCCACCAGAGATGCAACCTAGAGACATGGAGGGTGCCGTAAGATCTGGAGCAGGCACTGCAATATTGATGTTAATCAGGTGGAGAAGGCACAAAGGACCCCCACTGGAAATGCCATCGCGACACTCATGACGGTGACGGAGCCCACGGTGCCCTCCATGTTGCCGGTGCCATATTGAATAGACAAGTTCTGCCCTGTGCTTTTGTAAGTGGAGGACTGCGATGGGTTAAACATCTGATGGCTTTCTAGAAAGTAAGTGGGAAAATCAGAAATGAAGACTTTCAGCGAGGCTGAGCCATAAGGGAAGTGTGGGAGGAAGAACCCTGCTGAATTGCTGTTTAGACCTGCCATTTATTATCCTGCTTTCAGGAACAATTTAGCTGTGAGCATTTGCTGTACGCCCCTGCCCCTCCTCCAGCAACCAGGGATCCACAGGAAATCCCATCACCCCCGTTGGACAGGTGGGGAAACTGAGGCACTGAGCACTAAGCACATCACCCTGCGGAGTACAGCACTGAGTAGGTCCTACACCCCAAATACTCATCTCTCCAGTGCATTTCACAGATGCTGTGGACCCAGCACCACGGGGTCTGCTCGTTGCACTGGCTGGGTGGCCCCTGGTCCCCTGGCAATGTCACCCCAATCTTTGGGCTCAATCATGCAGTTATAAGCCCAGGACATGCTGCTGGACCCAGCTCTGACAAAATTATTTGATCTGTGTGTCCCAAGCCACTACGCACCCTCCAGACCCCCAAAACTTGGTGGCAGCTGGTGGTATCGCAGCAGGAGATTGGGTTTCTCTGATGACAGCATGGGAAAACTGATGGACCCTTTTTTTTTCCTTTGTTGTTTGAATTTCCTATCAGCGTTGTCACTATTTGGAAAGGCTGCTGTAGGCAGAGCTGCCAGGACGGTCCCCTCTCTGCTGCAGACAGAAGGTGGGTTTCTGCGATGGGGCTGGTTCCTGTAATGGAGTAAAGCAGGAATTAATAATGATTTTTTCAGCAGAGGTGTCATGGTTTAACCCCAGCCAGCAGCTCAGCACCACGCAGCCGCTCGCTCACTCCCCCTGCTCCGGTGGGATGGGGGGGAGAATTGGAGGAGTAAGAGTGAGAAACACTCCTGGGGTGAGATAAGAACAGTTTAGTAATGGAAATAAAATAAAGTAAAATAGTAGTAGTAATAACAACAATATAATAATAACAGTAATAATAATATACAAAGCAAGTGATGCGCAATGCAGTTGCTCACCACCCGCCAACCAATGCCCAGCCCGTCCCCGAGCAGCGATCGCAGCCCCCCAGCCAACCCCCCCAGTTTCTATACTGGGCATGACGCCGTATGGGATGGAACAGCCCTTGGGGCAGTTTGGATCAGCTGTTCTGGCTGTGCCCCCTCCCAGCTGCTTGTGCCCCTGGCAGAGCATGGGAACCTGAAATGTCCTTGCCTGGGGTGAGCAGTACTGAGCAACAACTCAAACATCGGTGTGTTATCAGCGTTATTCTCATCCTAAACCCAAAACACAGCACTGTGCCTGCTACTAGGAAGAAAATTAACTCTATCCCAGCTGAAACCAGGA